ATGACCTCACACATTGTCAAATACCTCCAAGGCCAGCCATATGGTCCTTCTAGTGTATAAACACTGCCTTACAGACCTCAGTAGGCATTTAGTACTGACCTTGCCCACACCGGTCTTACTATCTCTAGAATTAGAATACAAGCTCTTTTAAGGAGGTACTGATCATGACTTTCTTTTGGAATTCCCCTTCTTCCTCAGTCATGCTCTCTATCCCTCATTTTACTCAAATTATCTAGCTCAGATTTTACAGCAAAAACTTGATTAAAAAAAATGACAACACTTATCTTTGAGGAGGGGAAGGGGGGACTCAGACATATGATGTATAAATATGCATTTTAAACATTCCCAAAGAATTTTCATTTTATCGGTCTGTATGAGACCGTGAGCACACTGGCTGAGCCTCTCTGATCTTTGGTTGGTATAGAGAAGACAGGGTCACTGTACTGATAAATCGGCAGGAATCTCTCAGCCTGTGGTTTGTCAATAGTCGTGTCATCATTACTAAAAGCCCACAGACGCTACAGAAAGATGAAATAACACGTGAACATGTTAAAATTTAAAATAAGGGCAGCGCCTGTGGCTCAGTGAGTAGCTTGCCAGCCCCATATACCAAGGGTGGCGGGTTCAAACCTGGCCCTGGCCAAACTGCATCTACAAAATAGCTGGGCATTGTGCCAGGTGCTTCTAGTCCCAGCTACAGGAGCTGGAGGTTGCTGTGAGCTGTGACGCCATGGCACTCTACCAAAGGTGACAAAGTAAGACTCTGTCTCAAACAAAAAAAAAGATTAAAAAAAATTTAAAATAAATATGCATTCTGTTCTCTGCTCTCAATACAAGGATATTATTTAACCAAAAAGAGACACAGGGCCAACATGAGCCAACTACTACTAAAAACCCAATGAATAAACACCCTGAAAATAGACAGGAAATAAAAATAAGCAACAATAGGCTATGTGCTGTCAGCCACCCAGGAATTCCAATGAGTGCCTCTGTTTCGACTGTGTGTTCAGAAGTAGGGCAGTTCCTCCAGCTCCCTCTAATTTATTTTTTCTCTAATCATTCTGACACTTTATTGAATACCTGTCATTTCCCCAAAATTAAGAGCCAAGAGCAGCTACCCAGAGCCAGGTTGTGTGGAGTCCTTGTGCTCTGTGATTTTCCAGCCCCCCCCCACCACCGTCATTCAACTCCTGTCCAGGAGATCTGACCCGCGCTCGTGGAGTCGTCACACACAGGTGGGGAGTCCTGTGAGTGTGTGTGCACGCATGAACACACGTGTGTTAGTGTGTAATTCCGTTTATCCCCTGAAAGCTCTGCATGGAGAATAGCACTTTCTTGTCAGATGTTAACTGTCGGGAGCACCTGAAATATCTTTCACTACCGTAGGCATTTCTGACCCTCAGTGTCACCATTAGCAACAATGCCACAAGGGGCATGATTTGTGGTCAACTTGAACGCGGAGCCCTCCTCAGCTGGTGAAGCCAGTAGCATTCTGTTCCATTATACAGTAAATCATTTGAAAAAGAGTCTGTAAGCTCCATGGCTAATTTCTGAGGTTCCAACTACCAACAAAAAGGTTGGGGAGAAGCTCAATGTAGGCTTTTTAAAAGGACCTTGATTATAAACTTTTCTGTACGGCTCACTGATTCATCTAACAGATACTTACTGATGCCAACCTACGAACCAAGTATGAATTGTGAACTCAGAACAAATGTCAACCTATTTTGTGTCCTCAAGGGCTCACAGATCAGTTATAGTGAGGAACACTTGAGTCACTCCAGCAGGACCCAGTTCAAAAGTCACCACCTTTTGATACCATTTCTGCATCCAGAGAGCACTCCAGGCCTCTGCTGTGTGGGCCTCAATAAATACTGATGACTGCTGGAGAGAAGAAGATGAAAGTCTAAGGCAGATTTATGGGGAGCAACCAGGAGAAGGGTATGGAGAGGGACTCGAGTGTGTATGGTGGGACAGAAGACAAGATATTATTGCTAAATGTAGGTTTGAAGGGGTGACGGGTCCAAAATCTGGTAGGTTTCAAGTAATCTGTGCAGTACTCTGTAAGTTACAGCTGGCCCTGAATCATAAATTAATGCAATACAATCATTTTTTGGGTTACTATTGCTTATCTCATTTGATTTCTAGCTTTGTTGATCTTAAGTAAGTTAATGAAACTTTTATTAATTTATCAAGAAACATTTGTTGAGGCTCAGCGCCCTAGCTCAGTGGTTAGGGCACCAGCCACATACACCGAGGCAGGTGGGTTTGAACCTGGCCCAGGACTGCTAAAAAACAACGACAACTGCAACAAAAAAATAGCCAGGCCTTGTGGCTGGAGCCTGTAGTCCCAGCTACTTTGGAGGCTGAGGTAAGAGAACTGGTTAAGCCCAAGAGTTGGGAGGTTGCCATGAGCTGTGATGCCATAAAACTTTACTGAGGACAACATAGTGAGACTCTGTCTCCAAAAAAATGAAACATCTATTGATTACCTGCTCGCCTGTGACGTGGGGAGTGCAGTATGAGGAGTGCAGTAGTTACCACACAGAAGAGCAAGCATGTGGCTCACACAGCTTCCCAGACAGAAGTGGGTCACCTTTCTTCCCACTGGGTGGAAACAGTCACCTGAACAGGAAGCAGCATACAACAGAACCCAGGCCTGGTACCCAGTCGGAACCCAACTGGTGTCCACCAAATGGCTGAGGACTCTGGACTCAATCCTATTCTTGGCTACAGTGAGGAGTGAATGAAGCAACATAAACACACAGACCCCATCCAGCACATCCCTGGTGAAGGCTGCAGAGATGGAACTTTCTAGGCACCTGAGACTTCAATGGTGATTCCAAAAGGCTTTTCCCCAAGGGGTTCAAGTGTCTGAGAGGTGGTAGGATTATTTTATAATGCTGAAATTCTGCCAGTGTAAGAGCTCACAGGATAGTCAAGAATTAACAGTTAAGGATGCATGGCCAAACAATGTGAAGAGAATTCCACATGCTTACTAAATGGATTAATGAACTACTGCTGCCACAATATACATATGATTTGATTTCTTACTGAACAGAATGTGATATGTGTCAGTGCCACCTGGCAATGGCCGGACACACTCAGCTATTGCGGCTGGAGCACACGCTCCTGGTGTTCAGTGAGCAGAGGGCCTGGGGCTGCTGAGCGTCCCAGGACGACGCATGAGTCAGCACACAGAGGCATCCTGCCCCCAAGTGTCAACGGCTAGAGAAACCCTGACCTAGGGATGCAGAGACAAAGACTGCGTACCCATGGGGAGCTCCAAGGGTGGATGAGAGTGGAGACACCACACAGGAGGAGCAGCACGGAGGTGCAGTCACGCGTGTACGAAGGGCGAGGGGCGCACAGAGGAAGCGGCATCTAAGACGTAAGGGTTAGGAAGGGCTCACGGGACCCAGCTCTTAAAGGAAGGGTAGAAAACACAAACGAAGGAAGGGAGGGTAGGGAGAAGTCTGGGAGATGGGAGGGGAAGAAAGGAAAATAAAGAGAAGTGAAGCAGGCAGCTTGTAACTGGGCCCGCTGCGAACAAGGATGGGGCCGAAAGGCTTGGCAGGCCCTTGCTGAGCAGGGACACTATCGGCATTGGGGAAAGTTAGAGCATTACAATTTGGCACGCCTCACTTCCACTTCCCTATTCCTCATCAGCAAAATGGAAGTAAGGTGCTTCTTCTCTAGGCTATCAACAAGAGACAGGGAAGGATCTCTTATTTCCAAATACCCCACGAGCACCAGCTTACCTCCTTCTTTGAGTTTAGGTGAAGTATTAAAGCGCTTCTGAAGAGTATTAAGCTTGCAGTCATGTGATCAGGTTGAAGGTGAAGGTGGCTCTTCTAACTGGAGGGTGGAGCCTCCCCCCAGCCCCGGCTGCCTTTTTTTGCTGCTTGCCTTACTTTCGCTGTGATAGACTTTTTATCACATATATATACCAGGAAATGTGGCCACTGGCCTAGTACACTAAAGAGATTTCCAAAACACAAGGAAATACAGAACTGATTTAGCATTTTGCCTGAGATATACTCAGACCGAGCAGCTTGCCCGGTTTCATTCTACAAAGTATCTCTGTCACAGTGGAACTCCCTAGGTATTCCTATGCACCAAAGCAAATGGCTTTGAAAACAGACATCACCTTATTAAAAGGTAAGAAAGAAGCAATTACTTTTATTTCATGCAATAATTAGCTAAAACAGAACATTAAGGAAGGACACATCCACATTCCACCCAAATTTCTACACTCCAGGGCTGCTTTAGCTCCACGTAACCAGCCCTTATATACACAGAACTCTGAGCAAATCTTCCTCTTTTTCCCTTTCACTTCTGAAAGCAAGGGGAAAAAGAAAATTAGGAAAGGGAGATAAAACATGCCCAGAAACATGGAAAGGGAAAAGCAGATATAGATTTGTGGGTTGGGAGCTTTTTCTGGGAAGGGTGAGGGAACTCCTGCTTTGCCTCACATGAAAGGTGACGGGTGCTAATCCTGAGAAAGGAGATGAGAACTCCAAGGTTCACAGGAGTAACACACGGGCAGTGTGGACCGAGGTTCACAGGAGTAACACGGGGGCAGTGTAGACCGAGGTTCACAGGAGTAACACGGGGGCAGTGTAGACCGAGGTTCACAGGAGTAACA